AAACGTTGTTACCTACAACTCCCTTATTAGTTGTCTTTGTAATTACGGAAGATGGAGTGATGCCTCTCGACTACGTAGTGATATGATTGAGAGGAAAGTCAACCCAAATGTAGTAACTTTCAACGCACTGATCGATGCGTTTGTGAAGGAGGGGAAGCTTATAGAGGCTGAGAAATTGTACGAGGAGATGATCGGAAGGTCTATAGATCCTGATATTTTCACTCACAATTCACTGATTAACGGACTTTGCATGCATGATCGGTTAGAGGAGGCCAAGCAGATGTTTGAGTTGATGATTCGAAAGGACTGTTTCCCAAACGTAGTAACTTTTAATACACTTATAAATGGTTTTTGTAAGGCTAACAGAGTAGACGAAGGTCTAAAACTCTTCCGGGAGATGTCTCAAAGAGGATTGGTTGGAGACATAGTCACTTACAACACTCTTATCCAAGGGTTATTTCAAGCTGGAGATTGTGATATGGCTCAAGAAACTTTTAGTCAAATGGAATCTTTTGGTGTCTCTCCTGATCTTTGGGCTTATAACATTTTGTTAGATGGGCTCTGTAATAACGGGAGGCTAGAGAAAGCATTGGTGGTATTCGAGTGTTTGCAGAAGAGTGAAATGGAACTTGATATATTCACATATAATATTATGATTGAAGGGATGTGCAAGGATGGGAAGGTGGAAGATGGTTGGGGTCTATTTTGTAGCCTCAGCCTTAAAGGAGTGAAGCCTGATGTTATAACCTACAACACAATGATCTCAGGCTTGTGTAGGAACGGTTTAAACCAGGAAGCTTATGCCTTGCTAAAAAAAATGAAACAAGATGGGCCTCCTCCAGATAGCGGTACATATAATACACTGATCAGGGCATGTCTTAGAGATGGTGACAAAGCCGCATCAGCTGAACTCATTAAAGAAATGAAGAGTTGCGAGTTTGCTGGAGAAGCTTCATCCATTGGCTTGGCCACTGATATGTTACATGATGGGAAATTGGACAAAAGCTTTTTGTAAATGTGGATCTTAAAATAGTTTGAGATTGTAAAGGATTTCTCCGAATGAGAGAACATGGGGTAAGTTTGCAGAATGTGATCATTTGGTTCGGATCTGATTAAATTTTGAGACTTTTGGCATCTGAAGTGATAAAGTTATGTAAATTGCAGTTGTGGTGATTTTCAAAATTTGTTGTGTTATTGAATACTCTTATGGTTTCAGGTGCTTTGCTTCGAGGGGAATGAATGGTTAGCTCGTGAACTCAGAGTGAACCGAACCGCAAACATGAACAATTTATTGCCCACTAGAACTCGCAGGGAAGGCAAGGTCAGAGTAGAGACAGAATTGACCTCTGCTTTAGAAGGTTTACTCTTGTCAATGCCCACACTTATGTACGTATCACAACAATTTCTTTATATGTTAATACAAAATGTGAAAGATGAGACTCTGTTTGTAAGCACTTAACACTTGTGTGATGCAATGATCAAACTTACTCGTCAAGGAATCATCATCACAGTGGTGGTATCTTGGAACTTACACTTAAATCGTTTGTTTTGATTGTTTATTCATTGGAATGGGATCTATCTTTTAATCGAAATGATCAAGGAAATTATTTGTTTTTCATAAAATTTTCAGATGTTTTAAGGAAAAGAGCTTCCTAAAGGATAAAAGAAAACCTTCAACACTTGAATTAATTTTTAAGTCAACATTTTTATATTACCCACAATTTTGTTAAAGTTTGGCTTGCGGTAAGAAAATTTTCCTCTCTTCAAAATTTGAAAATATGAGAAAATAAAAATTATGAATTGTTACATTGAAAATGAGTAAAATTGACAAAAGGATCTTTGAAATAAATAAAGAAAAAATGAGGTAAACCCATGAAGTAATCGAAACAATGGCTGGAAAGCCACTTTTGGGGAAACAATGGCTAGAAAGCCACTTTCTCAGAAAAGTTGGGCTAGAATGCCACTCTCTATTTTTAATTTTATTTATCAATTTCTTTTAAACCAAATTCTGTATAAAAAGGCAAAAAACCCTTAATATCTACTAAAAATTACATATCCAACCATGAGGGACCCAAATCCATACAATTATATTTGTGTTCTCTTCTTCATCGTAGGTTTTTTTTTTTTTTTCTGTCATTTTTTCTGTAGGTTTTCTCTTCTTCTTTTTCTTTAACTGAGTTCCAAAAATCCCCAAATCTAATTCTATGAAATTCAATCCAAGACCATTTGAGTTAAGAATCGAAATCAGAGTTTGGGAAATAGTTAATCTCGATTAAAATTCCTTCAATTTCGGCAAGATTTCTCTTGAAATCTGCTTCTTAGATTCATGAAAAGTTTTTAAATTTTGAAATCGTCGTATGAACCTGTTTTACGATCTAAGCTAACTGCGGCGGTTCTAGTTTCACCACCAGCTCCGGAAGAGAGAGAGAGAGACAGGGGTCGAGGCCGATGAGGCGAGGCGGAGGAGAGAGGACAATCTCGTCCAGATTAGAAAAAAACAAGCGTGAGGATAGTCTCCTCACGAAGCGTCGCATGCGTCAGCAGCAGCAGCCTCCCGGAGCTGGCCTCGACGAATGTTGCCGTCGTTGAGAAACGAGTAAGTTCCCGATCTGAATTTCGAGACAATTGTGCGTGACTTTTTGATTTGGATCCCAGGATTTGATTAGTTAGTGATGTATCTATGGAAGGTGATCTGAAAAATGAGATAAGCGTTCTTACTTGGCATTGTGCACTCGTGGTCATGCCAATTAGATAGAATTTAATGTCCGTTGTTTCCCATGTTTTAAGAATCCATGCCGGGCTTGCTTGATGAATGTTGATGAGGATTATGGTTCTCTTGCATTGAGATTTAAGAAAATTGTTTGGCTTTACTTTGCCATTGCTTTGATCTAGAGGATAAAATGAACAAGCTTTGGGTCAATGATTCATAGGTTCTGATTTGTTTAGAAAGTATGAAACTTTTTAGTGTGAATCTATCGGTTATGAAGTTTTGATTTCCGACCTGAGGAAGTCGATTACATTAGTTTCTAGATGAGATTTGATCCGTATGAAAATCTCTTAGGCACTAAGTAGGAATCAAGAAGTCAGGACTAAGTCCCATTCATGCTTGTCTTAAGCTATGATCGCCCTCCATGTCACAAAATTGTTGCATTTTGGGTTTCCAAAGCTACCATTCTGCTCCTTTAAAATTCAGCCTAGCCATTGGCCAACAATGGTTTCACTTTTTCCTTTAGTCTAGGACCTTTGTCTAGGCTTCTTGTTTCATTCATTCATCTGCTTGAATTGGCTGGTTTTGGCGTTGCAGTGTTGCTCTGTCAAAGATAGAGAATAAGTGGAAGGAAGAGCTTGATCAAGAACTGGAAAGAAAGCGCACAAGTCAAGTCTTTTTTGTGACAATCATGATTGTACACTGCACGTACTTGTGAATTAAGATTGCGCATGACTTATGTTTTTGTATTTCATTTCTGTATTTTGTTGTGTTGTGATTTAAGAATATATGACTTCATGTTTTTGTAAACCAAAAAAATATTTAGATTATATTTACGTAATTGGTTTTGCAGGTACAACTGGTCTATTTAGGTACAACTACGTGTCTGGGTTACTTATAAGAAAGTACAATTAAATCACTTAGGTACAACTGAGACAATTAAAAATAACCTTTCCAAAAAAATTAAAATTGATATTAAAATAAATTTAAACGAAGTAAAAAAAAAAAAAATTAAATATGACCCACGTAAGTATGATTTTTGGCGGCAGTATATTAATTTTAAATCATCACACGTGTGGTAAAGTGGGCCAAAGATAGCATGATATTAATAAAAAATTATTTTGTTTTAAACATAGTTGTACCTAGTTGTACGCTCATATTCATAGTTGGACTTTAGCGATTTTTTGTGTATTTCAAGTTGGACTTACATGAAAATTAATAATTTGCAGTTGGACACATGATGTTACACTTTTAATTATCATTTAGGAGGTTTTCATAATACAATATTCATAAAAATTTGATTTTCACCTCTTTTGCTTCATATGTAGTGATCACTTACTAAGTCTTCCTTAAATTTGTTGATTTTTCAGAATTGATAATTTATTTAAACGTAAAATTATATATTAAATTCTCCAAAATATAAACAAACTATTTTGGATCAATACAATAAAAATTTAACAATATATAAGAAATAAATGTTGTTTCACATAAAACATCCCTTCTATTATAAGGAATACTTAGTATATGATCACCTTATATGAAGTAAAAAAGTTGAAAACTTGGTTTTTACCAATGTTCCATTATGAAAACTTTGGAAATGCAAAATAATTTAGAGAAATCATGGGTCCAACTTGTAATTAATTATTTACAGTCTCGTTCAACTTCAGATTATGAAAAATGTGGAAAGTCCAACTATGATTACGATAGTACAACTGGACAACTATGAGTATATTTCACCGCAGAAAAAAACAAAAAAAAACTTTTTAGTGGGGCCCACATATTGAGTAAGTACAACATTAAATAAAAATCAAATGCTGAACGTTTTTTTCGGGGACCACATGCTGGAAGTTTTAGTTTTTTTTTTTTTGCTTTTAAAAAATTAAATAAAGAATAATTCATTAAGGGTAAAATGGATATTACATATATATAGTGGCATAGAGACTCTAAAATGGCATGCCTGATTCATTTTTCTGGTTTAGTGGCACTCTAGCCTGTGTCTCACTTTTGGGGAAAACAAATGCTAGAATGCCACCCTCATATTTTCATTTTCTTTTACAATTTTTTTTAAACTCAAAAATTAAGGAAATTCCCAAAACCCCATTGTCAATATGGAAAACTACCAATCCAACCTAAAGTATCCGATTATCTGCTCCAAATTTGATAATCCGACCCGAATCCACACAAAATACTCTATTTTTTTCTTCTTCGTTTCTTTGTCAATTTTCTTCAATTGCTTATTCTTCTTCTTTTCCTCTTCTTCTTAAGCTCCAAAAATCCCCAAATCTTGAACTTCAATCCAAGAACCACTTAAGTTGAGAGTCGAAATCAGAGTTTCGGAGATCTCGATTGAGATTCTTCAATTCCATTAAAGGCTAACATGCACAAAAAGGATCTTCCATCTGATGTGTTGCGTCATAAGATATTAGAATCTGAAGCGAATAACTTGGTGGGTGAGGTTGTGAAATCTCAGAAGCAAGAACCGATTCGGGGAGCTTTGAGAACGGAGATTGGATCTGCAGATTCGTTGCTGAGGAAAGCTGACTCGCCATTGATCGTGTTTGGTAAAGGAGTTGCGTATTACTTTGATTCCAGTTGTATATTCGTTGATTGTTTTGGGGGCTCAGTAAACTTGCTCGAATTGTACCTTTCACCTGGTTTTGTTTTGCCAATGGCTGGTTCCGTCTTCCATTTTGTCTCAGTTTGGTCATTTGTCCTTGAAAATGCAAATTTGGTCCGTCGCGGTGAGCGTTAGTGCTTGTACGGATAATTAATTCTGCTCGGATAGTTCGATCGAGCTCTTTCTTTGGTAAGCGTTTCCAATCCTTCTTAATTGAGGTTGTATGGTTTACCATCTAGTTTGGTTGGTTTGACTTTGGTTTGTTTGTGGTTTTTAACTTTGGATTTGGTTTGTCCAGAGACATGGTATGTGTGTAGTTTTGTCAGTTTTTTTTTATACGAATAGCTTGTTTAGAGGTTTGTTAGGCTTGGTTTGATCCTTATAAATAGTTTTTTTTTTGTATGGATAGCTATTTTGTCATAATCAGATTCGTAGCTTTAGCTTAGCAGAAACCTTAGAATTATTCTCTCCTTACACCGCTCCCACATTTTTAGAGTTCTATTTCTTTTTCTAAATTTTGAAAATCTTTTGTTACCGTTTGTCTTTCTACGGTGTACACAAATTTGATAAATGAATTGTTTTACTAAGTGTTTCTATAGGTATGTTTTAACTGATTTATTTTTCATGTTTTTTGATGAAAGCATACTTGTTTGTATCTTTACTTGTTGATTTTTGTTTTTGAATTCAGATATGGATTGTGTACAAAGAGTCTACATCATTTGGTTCAATAAAATGAAGAATCTAGAAGGTTAGAGAGATTTCTAGAAGGCAAGGAGAGTTCTAGATGATAGAACTAGGTTAATACTTTTTGCTTGATTTGGGTAGATGCAAAAAGGCATTGACTTTGCATTAAATCATATGATTATGTTAGTGAACTAGTTGTGGTCTTCATGATTCTAGATCAATAATCAACTCGTTGACTTGTAGTATATGTTATTGCAGAGATCATGCGCCAAGCAGGTTTTGTATCATCCCCAAGAGACAGAGGCTTGAGCCGACCGAGAGAGGTCGAGATTTGCATCTCCAAGATTGCACATGGCTTATGTTTTTGTATTTCATTTCTGTATTTTGTTGTGTTGTAGATTAAGAACATATGACTTCATATTTTTGTAAACCAAAAAAATATTTAGATTATATTTAAGTTCAGTTGGTTTTGTAGGTACAACTGGTCTATTTAGGTACAACTACGTGTATGAGTTACTTATAAGAAAGTACAACTAGATAACTTAGGTACAACTGAGACAATTAAAAATAACTTTTTTAAAAAATAAAAAATTAATTAAAATTGATATTAAAATAAATTCAAACGAAGTAAAAAAAAAAATTAAATATGACCCACGTAAGCATGATTTTTGGCGGCGGGATATTAATTTAAAATCATCACACGTGTGGTAAAGTGGGCCAATGACAGCAGGATATTAATAAAAAATTGTTTATTTTAAACATAGTTGTACTAGTTGTACAGTTGTACTCTTATATTCATAGTTGGACTTTACCGATTTTTGTGTATTTCCAGTTGAACTTTAATGAAAATTAGTAATTTATAGTTGGACACATGATGTTACACTATTAATTATCATTTAGGATGTTTTCATAATACAATTTTCAGAAAAACTTGGTTTTCACCTCTTTTGCTTCATATGAGGCTATCTTGTACTAAGTCTTTCTTAAACAGTTTATCCTTGAGAGAGTTGTTGAGGAACCATGTGCCCTCGTGAGTTGAATTAACTTTTTATGTTGCTTTTCTGTTGATTACTTCTGAACGCATGTTCTCATGTGTACATTTTGGTTAGTCGTGTATAAGCTTCATGAATATGACTGATACTGATCTTTGTTATTTCCCGATTAGGTTGCAAACAAGAGTTGATTGTTAAGTTCTATGGGCTTCCAACTCAAAACCAATTGGCAATGAGTGGAGTGGCCCATATCCCTTTATATATTACTTAGGATCCCTTCCAACTTCCGATGTGGGACATTATGTCCTAATACGCCCCCTCGAGATGATGGCTCTTTGGCCATTAATCTCGGAATATTCGGGCTTAGATCGACGACATCAATTTTGGGCCTTGTCGATGATTGGACCATCTTTGGGTCGGATCGGGTTGGACATGTGTGGATCGGGCTCTGATACCATGTTAAGTTCTATGGGCTTCCAACTCAAAACCAATTGGCAATAAGTGGAGTGGCCCATATCCCTTTATATATTACTTAGGATCCCTTCCAACTTCCGATGTGGGACATTATGTCCTAATATTGATAAGAGCAGTCTTCATGCAGATTTTAGATTTCGAATGATGTCTCGGGCTCGAGGGAGATTCTCATCTTCCTTCTTCTTCCCAAAGCTCCATCCCCTCATATGTGGCATTGTAATGTCAAATGGAGCTTATTTGTGGGAAAAATGAAGTTTTTGGTGATTTTCTTGTGAACTGCAAAGCTATTTAACTCATATTGAATTTTGGTTACAATTTGATAGATCGAAATAATTGTGGAATTCTGTAAAAAAGACGGCTCATTACTAGAACCTGTATTAAGAATGGTAAATTCCCACTTCTTCGGGAGACTGGCCTATCTCCTACTCCGTTATTTCGAGGTAACGAAGGCCTCGCTGCTGCTAAACTTTCAAATCCCAGTATAAAAGAGATTGGAAACGTTTAATAGAAAATTTCTAGTCTCCATATCACATTCTTTGCTCATATGATCATTCAGATCACTTGATAGATGATTTCACTGATTAGATGTTAATGGTGTGTGACTTGACCTATACAGCGTGGATTGTTCTGAATTCGATCTATGATCAAATTTTCAATATTGATTCCAATGGCTGAATTTCGTATGTTTGGGTCGTTTTTTTTTACAACAAACCTTAATTCCTGTTTTGGTGAGATAAAGATTGTTATGTTCTTGGATGCTCTCTTGTTTCAGGTTATTCTCTGCTTTGAGAATCATAAGTTAACTCCATCAAAGCAATTTTCTTCTACTGGTACATAATTTTTTAGTATTTTCTTGCAGTGATGTTTCCATTCTCCAATAAATTTCATAATTCAAGTTCTAAAACACTTGTCAGTTTATGTAGTCACACACTGAACAGATGATCCTCTGCAAGACCTCCAAGACTTGACTTATCGGTTTTCGCATACTAGATGTTGATTTGGATCTTAATAGTGAGATCAAAATGGATTTTGCCGGTCAATGGTTTCAGAGTCTGAGTGCTTTTGCGTCCATTGAATCTAAAATCTTTTTGTTCTTTTACTCTTGACAAATTTACAGTCACCTTTCAGATTTGCCTTTTATAGACAACTTCCTTAATTTGTTTCTGTTCCGGTTTAAAAACGCAGACCGATAATCTCTAAATAAAATAATTACTAAACCGGTTTAAAAACGCAGACCGATAATCTCTAAATAAAATAATTACTAAACCGGTTTCGGCACTCACTCTCTCGAAACAATGGCTAGAAAGCCACTTTCTAAGAAAAGTTTGGCTAGAATGCCACTCTCTATTTATAATTTTATTTAACAATTTTTTTTAAATCAAAATCTGTAGAAAAAGTCCAAAAACCCTTAATATCTACTAAAAATTACATAACCAACCATGAGGGACCCAAATCCATACAATTATATTTGTGTTCTCTTCTTCATCGTAGTTTTTTTTGTTTTCTGTCTTTTTTTCTTCTTCTTTAACTGAGTTCCAAAAATCCCCAAATCTAATTCTATGAAATTCAATCCAAAAACCATTTGCGTTAAAAATCGAAATCAGAGTTTGGGAAATAGTTAATAGCGATTAAAATTCTTCAATTTTGGCAAGATTTCTCTTGAAATCTGCTTCTTAGATTCAAGAAAAGATTTTAAATTTTGAAATCGTCGTATGAACCTGTTTTACGATCTAAGCTTACTGCGGCGGTTCCAGTTTCACCACCAACCTATCTTCCACCATTTGTGTATCCATAACCTTGTTGTAAACCAGCTCGAACTTCTTGACGATCTCCGTCACGATACGAATCTGGTTCGCGTCAACGAGGACGTTGAGGTAGTTGGAGGTATGTGATTGGAGCGACGATTGGTTAGGAATCTACTCGCCACCGAACTCACTTAACGATCACTTCATCGGCTATAAATTCCTATTCGATTCTTCCGAGAACCCAAACTTCAGTTGAGAACCCAAGTCTTCTCATATGCACATATACTCAAATTCTTCGCGAATCCAACGATCATAATCGAGAAGAAACACCAAGTCATCGACCACATCGTGATGTCACTCTAGACCATTTAATAACGACGGTGTTGCCGAATCGGTTTAAAGTTTGGGGAGAGATTGAAATGATGACTTTGGAATTAAGTGATGAGATGTTGGGTTTAGTCAAAGCAAGAAGAATAAGTCTTCCCAAAGTTGTCGGAGTTAGTGGTTTGTTCTATTTTGATAATTGCAGACCGATTTTAAGAGGAGACAATGCCTAACTCGGCGGAGAGATTTGGCATCTATGAGGAAAATGTCCAATCATTAGAACATCTACCACCCGTTTTGTCTAGTTCATTTAATAAATCTAGTTCAATGGTTCTGGTTTAGATTAAAGTAAGCTTTAGTTTTCAAAGCCAACAAGGCAATTCGATGTATATTATAAAGTAACGGAGATAGAACATAAATTTTGAGATTTTTGTTGCCGATAACTTTCATGTATGCAATTGGTTTCGTAGGTACAACTAATACATTAAGATACAACTACGTTTAAAAATTTGTATGTTATAAACATAGTTGTTCTCAAGTGAACAGTTGTACATTAATCCTCATAGTTGTATTTTGGCGATTTTTGCGTATTTGTAGTTGGACCTTGATATAAATTATTATGTTGTAGTTGGCCACATAATTTTTCTCTATTAATTATCATTTAGGAGATTTTATCCATTCAACTAGTTCAACTTTGTTTATGTATGGTAAAGTGGGTCTTTTGTTTATGTATTTTGGTATAAATGTAATTATTAGGTACAACTGAGGTTTAATTATTCGGTCCAATTGGGTAAATTGAGAAAAAAGAAAATAAAATATAAATTAAAATTATTTAATGTAGACAATTTAAAATGTTTTAAAATCATCCAATGTGTGGTAAAGTGCACAGTTATGGGACTGTGGATAAAATACACTTTTAGATTTGGCGGCTGGATATACTTATAGTTGTCCAGTTGTACTCTCATATTCATAGTTGGACTTTGACAATTTTTTCGTATTTACAGTTGGACTATAATATAAATTATTAAATAGTAGTTGGACACATAATTTAGGCATTGTTAAACTAGTTCAAATGTCTATTTTTGGTTTTCGTGGTAATATTTAATATAATTAGTTCAACCAGTTCACTAAGTAACACTAAAATGTTTAAATTTGTTGATTTTTCATAACTGATAATTTATTATAAACGTAAAATTATATACTAAATACCCCAAAATATAAACAAACTATTTTGGATCAATACAATAAAAATTTAATAATTTCTAAGAAAGATGTTGTTTTCACATAAAACACCCTTTCTAGTATAAGGAATACTTAGTATATGATCCTCTTATATGAAGTAAAAAGGTGAAAACTTGGTTTTCACCAATGTTCCATTATGAAAACTTTGGAAATGCAAAATAATTTAGAGAAATCATGTGTCCAACTTGTAATTATTTATTTACAGTCTAGTCCAACTGCAAATTATGAAAACTGTGGAAAGTCCAACTATGATTACGATAGTACAACTGAACAACTATGAGTATATTCTGCCGCAAAAAAACAAATAAAACTTTTTAGTGGGGTCCACATATTGGGTAAGTACAACATTAAATAAAAACCACATGCTGCTTGAGCGTTTTTTTAGGTTTCGTTGGGATCCACAAGAGTTTTTTAATTTTTTATTTTACTTCTTACAAATTAAATAAGAATAATTCATTAAGGGTAAAATGGTGATAACACATATATAGTGGCATACAGATTATAAAATGGCGGGCCAGATTCATTTTTTCGGTTTAGTGGCAAACTAGGCTGTGACTCCACTCTCTCCCTCTCTCGGTCTATCTGCGTCTCTCTCTCACAGTCTCATAGTGGTTCGTTTAGGGTTTTGACAGAGATTCCGAGTCAGTGAGATTCCGAGTCAGAGATGATGAGGTCATCTGCGATTGCATCTACAGCGAAGAGATTTCTTTATCGGAGTCTTCTGGAGAGAGGTAAACCTGGAAATGCTCCTTCTTCGTTTAGCCATTGCTGTTTATGGGAACGAGCTTTTTCTGTCGTTTACAGAGAGAAATTGAGTAGAAATAGTTTACATGATTTGAAGTTAGATGCTGCTATTGCTTTGTTTTGTGACATGGTCAATTCTCGTCCTTTACCTTCCATTGTTGAGTTCAATAAATTGTTGAGTGCTATTGCTAAGATGAAGAAGTTTGATGTTGTCATCTCTCTCGGCGAGCGGATGCAAAATCTGGGGATTTCATATGATCTCTACACATACAATATTTTCATTAACTGTTTCTGCCGACGCTCTCAACTCTCTCTTGCTTTAGCTGTTCTTGGCAAGATGATGAAACTCGGTTATGTGCCCAGCATTGTTACGCTTAACTCGATACTCAATGGATTCTGTCATAGTAAGAGTATTTCTGATGCCGTAGCTTTGGTTGATCAAATGGTGGAAATGGGATATAAACCCAATACAGTGACATTTACAACTCTAATCCATGGACTTTTTCTCCACAACAAAGCTTCAGAAGCAGTGGCGCTAGTTGATCGGATGGCAGTGAAAGGCTGTCAACCAAGTTTAGTTACTTATGCTGTGGTTGTAAATGGATTATGTAAGAGAGGTGATACTGATTTGGCTTTTAATCTGCTCAGGAAAATGGAGAACGGGAAAATAGAAGCTGATGTTGTGATCTACAGCACAGTCATTGATGGCCTTTGCAAATACAAACATGTGAATGATGCACTCAACCTATTCAATGAGATGGAGAACAAAGGAATTAGACCAACTGTTGTTACCTACAACTCCCTCATAAGTTGTCTTTGTAATTATGGGCGATGGAGGGATGCCTCTTGCTTACTTAGTGATATGATTGAGAGGAAAATCAACCCTAATTCAATCACTTTCAACACATTGATCGATGCGTTTGTGAAAGAAGGCAAGTTTGTAGAGGCGGACAAATTATATGAGGAGATGATCCGAAGGTCATTAGATCCTGATATTTTCACCTACAATTCTTTGATCAATGGGTTTTGTATGCGTCATCGCCTAGACGAGGCCAAGCAGATGTTTTCTTTGATGGTTAGCAAGGACTGTTTCCCAGATGTAGTGACTTATAGTACTCTTATAAAGGGATTTTGCAAGTCTAAGAAGGTAGAAGATGGTATGGAACTCTTCCGCGAGATGTCTCAAAGAGGATTGGTTGGCGACACAGTCACTTACAACACTCTTATCCAAGGGTTATTTCAAGCTGGAGATTGTGATATGGCTCAAGAAACTTTTAGTCAAATGGATTCTTTTGGTGTCTCTCCTGATCTTTGGACTTATAATATTTTGTTAGATGGGCTTTGTAATAACGGGAGGCTAGAGAAAGCATTGGTGGTATTCGAGTGTTTGCAGAAGAGTGAAATGGAACTTGACATATTCACATATAATATTATGATTGAAGGGATGTGTAAGGATGGGAAGGTGGAAGATGGTTGGGGTCTATTTTGTAGCCTCACCCTTAAAGGAGTGAAGCCTGATGTTATAACCTACAACACAATGATCTCAGGCTTGTGTAGGAAAGGTTTAAACCAGAAAGCTTATGCCTTGCTCAAAAAAATGAAACAAGATGGGCCTCCTCCAGATAGCGGTACATATAATTCACTGATCAGGGCATGCCTTAGAGATGGTGACAAAGCGGCATCGGCAGAACTCATCAAAGAAATGAGGAGTTGCGGGTTTGCTGGAGATGCTTCAGCGATTGGCTTGGTCGCTAATATGTTGCATGATGGGAGATTGGACAAAAGCTTTCTGGACATGCTCTCTTAAAGACGTCTTTGAGGTTAATAAGCCCTTTTTAACTAGTTATCACTTCTCTATGCAGTTCTTATGTTCATGAATATGTTTGATTAGCGTTCTGTTAACCAGCATTAGAGTTTTGGTGGACGTTTTGGGGTTGTGAATTTTTTTCTTTCTTCTGTATCCATTATTGTTTATATCTTACAAACGAAACATTCTCAAAGGTGTTAATCAAATTTGGAAACTTTTATCTTTGTTTCGTGTATTAAGAAAATGGTTTTGATCCCATGGCGCAAATGGAAATCTAAGCGACTACCATCAGTTTCGGATCTGGAGTTATGTTTGGTCGCTTCGGTGAGGCAAAATTTATCACGGAAACAATTTGTGATTGGTCATAAGTAAGAACGACAGAGATTTGTTGTGGGACAGTTACAAAGATTTTGATGCGAATCATGTGGACCTTTTGATATCTTGCAGCATATAGGATCTGCATTTTTCCATCAGAAGCCACCTCAAGTTGCTAAGATTCTTCAGTCCAGCAAAAGGTTCTGTTCCCAAACAGCCTGTCAACGGTTTGGTTCTTACATATATAGTGGTTTCCTCTGGTTCTAGTTCTCTAAGACATTTGTTAGGGAGAAAACAACAGTTGCACTATAATTTCACTAAACCGACTTCAGGAGTCTCTTTCTCAAGTAATTGAGGAACACTCTGTTGATTTAGAGTTTCGTAAAGTTTTACCAGAAGAGGAGTGGTAGAGTAAGCACTCTTCCTTTCAAAGCATTTGTGAAGTGCATCAAGTATTTATGTTGCTTTTCTAGTATTGATTAAAAGTTACAGATTGACATATTACAACTGATTGATCGATAGAATAGTAGATCCATCAGACGTAAATGGCAAATTTATGTACACACCACAACAATTTTTTCATATGTAGAGAGAGAAAAACAGAGTTTTGAAAAGATCAGACAAACAGTTTCTCTGTTCGTCTCTCTTCTCTCCATCCATTGTAAACGTTTGCAATGTAATCTTCAATCCTGCTCGTCAAGGTGTCATCATCAACATCATCACCATAGGCATGATTATCATCATCATCATGGTTTTCAATACCATCATCACCACCATCTTGATTCCGTTGGCTATAATCTTCATCATCGTTCCATATACAACCATCATTATCAACTTCATCAAAACCATCATAATAGCTAAAACAATCATCATAGTAATATCTTGTGAAATCACAACATTCTCTGTTCTTGTCTATGGTTTCAACATCAAGCATACTGTCTTCTTGAAAAGTGTACAAAACATAGAAATCTTCGGTTTCTTCATAAACAGAGCGATTACGATCGATGATAAGCAAGAAAAGAATCAAACAGAGGAAAAAGAAAATAAGAAGAGGATTTGGAGGATTGTTGAAAAATCTCAAGAAGAAAAAGAGCATTAATGTTGAAACAATTGTTCTCCAGATCATCTCCATGACATTGATTATAATGTTCAACATCTTCATCTGGACTCTATCTATATCAATAAAAGAGTAACTTTCCAGGAAAATAATTCGAATTAAGAGTAATTTTCCAGGAAAATACCATGAATTCTGCTGAGATAATGAGTGGAAAAAGTCTGTTGTGTGAAGTTATTGTAAAACTTAACATATATAGAATAAAGATTTTAATATTCTAAGGATGTGTTGTACACATGTCTATTTCTTGCTGCGCAAGTTCTAAGAATATGTGTATGTGTAATTTTAGTATTAATATTTATCTTCTTGAGAGAGAAGTTTACGATTCTTGAAGTGGACACAATGAGTTTTTTTAAGTTATGACTTATGATCATTACAAGTATCTCAGTTTAAATGTAATTTCTGATATTTAAATGTAGATGAGTATATTAAAAAATATTTTGTAATTTAATTTATTTTTTGAAGATGTTTTTTTTCTTGGACTCCATAAAGAATAAATTCAGATATATTCACATCATTTCTATGACTCAACAAAACTCTACCTAGAATATGTCTAAGCGAGTCAAAGACTATCATCCTCTTATATTACCAATATTGGTTTACACACACATGACATGACATGAACAAGAAACTATTCTCCTATTTATATTCATTCTTTCCTAACACATAAATCAAATTCAATCCGTTAAAAAATGGAGAGTCAAAAGCAAGAAGACAATGAATACATTTTCCGCAGTTTGTATCCATCTGTGCCCATTCCTGACAAACTTACACTGGTAATATAGCTAGACACAGTTTTTCTTTTCCGGTTACGGTCTATAATAATTTAGGTTAAGATGCGGTTTATAAATACTAATGAAATTTACTAATGGCAATGTGAAAAAGCCTGAATTTGTGCTCCAAGGAGTTGAAGAATACACAGAAAATGTGGCGTTTGTAGAAGCGGTGACCGGAAAAGCGGTAACGTACGGTGATGTAGTGAGGGACACAAAGAGGCTAGCCAAAGCGTTGACCTCTCTCGGACTAAGGAAAGGTCAAGTAATGGTTGTGGTTCTACCAAACGTCGCTGAGTATGGGATTATTGCCCTTGGCATTATGTCTGCCGGTGGAGTCTTCTCCGGTGCAAATCCGACGGCTCTTGTCTCCGAGATCAAGAAGCAAGTTGAAGCTTCCGGTGCTAGAGGAATCATCACTGATGCTACTAACTATGAAAAGGTAATTTAACAGTAAATTAACTTTTTCGACTATGGTTTCGTTTGGTTTAGGTTTGGTTTGGTTAAAATCCATCCCTATACCTAAAACATTTACTTATTTTGGACAGGTGAAAACACTAGGTTTACCGGTGATAGTGTTAGGTGAAGAGAAGATCGAGGGAGCAGTAAACTGGAAAGATCTTCTAGAAGCAGGAGACAAATCCGGTGATACCGACAATGAAGAGATTCTTCAGACAGATCTTTGTGCACTTCCTTTTTCTTCAGGAACAACAGGATTACAAAAAGGAGTAATGCTCACACATCGCAATCTCATAGCCAATCTTTGCTCTACTCTCTTCAGTGTCAGGTCTGAAATGATCGGTCAGATCGTGACGCTTGGTTTGATCCCATTCTTTCACATTTACGGTATCGTTGGCATATGTTGCGCTACAATGAAGAATAAAGGCAAAGTTGTTGCTATGAGTCGGTACGATCTAAGGATTTTCTTGAATGCTTTGATTGCGCATGAGGTTTCGTTTGCGCCTATAGTTCCGCCGATTATATTGAATCTTGTTAAGAATCCGATAGTTGATGAGTTTGACCTTTCGAAGCTTAAACTTCAGTCTGTTATGACTGCTGCTGCTCCTTTAGCTCCTGAGCTTCTTACTGCCTTCGAAGCCAAGTTTCCTAACGTCCAAGTCCAAGAGGTAAGACTTTATATGTTCAATGATGTTTTGATTGGTTCTATATATGGAATTAAACCTTGTTTTTGTATTAGGCTTATGGATTAACGGAGCATAGTTGCATTACGTTAACTCACGGAGATCCAGAGAAAGGACAAGCAATCGCGAAACGAAACTCTGTCGGTTTCATACTTCCGAATCTCGAGGTGAAGTTCATAGATCCTGACACCGGTAGATCACTCCCGAAGAACACTTCCGGTGAGCTATGTGTGAGGAGCCAATGTGTAATGCAAGGTTACTTCATGAACAAGGAAGAGACTGACAAGACAATTGATGAACAAGGTTGGCTTCACACAGGGGATATAGGTTACATCGATGACGATGGAGATATCTTCATCGTTGATCGTATCAAAGAACTTATTAAATACAAAGGTTTTCAGGTAAAATGTTATACCAAAGTAAAACATAATATTTCATTGTTTCAAATTGGCCGGATTTTCAAAGTTATGGTGTAATTTTCCGGTAGGTTGCTCCCGCCGAGCTTGAAGCTATTCTACTCACTCATCCATCCGTTGAAGACGTTGCCGTCGTGCCGTGAGTATATATATATATTGCCCTACTGATTTCTTGAAACTAATATTTTTAGATATTATTAAAACATAGAAATTATGAAATGAAAAGGTTACCGGACGAGGAAGCCGGGGAGATTCCGGCGGCTTGCGTGGTGATAAATCCGAAAGCGACAGAGAAGGAAGAAGACATTCTCAACTTTGTTGCAGCAAATGTGGCTCATTACAAGAAGGTCAGAGCCGTCCATTTTGTGGATTCAATCCCCAAATCTCTCTCTGGTAAAATCATGAGGAGGCTTCTTAGAGACAAGATCCTCAGCATCAACAAGAAGTAGAAGAAAGAAAACTCTTACAAGCTTTCCTTAATCTACTTTGGTTTAAGAATGTCCTAAATGGATTTCCTAATTGGATTACCACCACATATGGTTAAGAGAATAGACTTTAATCATTGTATCTTGCTTACAATTAATTATGAGTATTTATGATGATGAAATTTTAGTATTGATCGTTAGAATACAAGATGAAAAGAAAGCAATATAAGTAACAAGAAATTTCATCTTCATAAATACTCATAATTAATGCTAAACTGTGACGAAGATGGAGAAAGAACAAATCTGATGATCTCATATTCCTTGATAGTTTTAGTAACTAGAAAATTTCTTAATTCGCACAAGTATTAACGTTTACAATTTTTTTTCTAAACACAACCTCTGATTAACTTTTTTTTTTTTATCAAATTAACTAAACCTCTAATTAACAGTGTTTTTTTTCTAAAGACAACCTCTAATTAACTAGATGTACCTTAATCACCATATTTTATGAATGTTCGAATATTCCTGTCGGTTTCGTTTTGATTCTATTTAGTTTCAGTTCTTTCGATTATATAGTTTAGGATCATGTTATTTTAATATGTACACATCGATATATTATAATTGATATATATTTTTGTTATGTATATGTAATCAATTATCTTAGAACATTATATGATTATACATCGCATTTAATATTGACATATTCTTTAACTGGAGGAATAGTTATATTCGTAGAAAATTGTTTAAAAGAAATATCGCGCTACCTCAAATTATTCTACTACCCTTATCCCTTATACAAGTTTCTCATTGAAAATTTGTAGATTTGTCATTTGCTTCAATAAGTCTGTATTCATCATTAGTTAATTACCAAATTAACTCTAATAATCACATTAAAATTATAAAAAGAATTATCTTATATTATATTGTAACAAATTTTTCATTAACATTAAAAAAAAGATTTCTGCAAAAAAATTATCAAAGTCGCTATTTTAAAAATTTATTCTCCATCTCAAAATATGAAAGTAATCCCGTAAAGTAAAAAATAGTACGCAATATAACTTGTTTTTCTTACTGTTAATTTTGTAACATATAGATAAATAATATACCAAATCGAAACTCTCGCAAAGAGGAATCCAAATATGCTTTTGAAAATTTTAAAATCCAGTATATGTAATCGTGAAAAATTTTCAAAAATACACATAAAGATTATATTACGTATTATTATAAATTTGTATAATTAATTTACATTTTTAGAGATGAACGGTAAAACTATAAAAATTGAAGTTTGGGAGGATTTTTTATAGAAGACAAGTACAGTTTCCTTTACTTTTGTAGAAAACAAAATTTGTCGTTGAGAAGAATTTTGGTCAACAGTTATTAAAATGATGAATAACAGAAAAGAAATGATAACTTCATCAATAATCACCTATTAATTAGTCAAACGAACAAGAATTTGTGGAAGCATAAAATTTAAGTCTGGAGGTTGAAGAGCTCATGGCCATGGGCAATTGCGGCAATGGCAAATATAGGTTGTGTTCTTCCCAACTGTTTGTCCAATACATCTTCCAAATTTATACGTAGAATTTCTTGTTCGACTACAAATTGATTCACATCTACCGCGTCTTTCACAAAATTTCGGATTAGCTAGAATCCTTTCACCACAACGATTATTTATTGGATTTCTAGCCTCCATTTTTGATATTCCTGAAATCGTAGTAATCAACAAGTCAGAAATATTGTAAATATGAATGAATTCCTTTTGCCAAATTGCATATTTTAATCTTAAAATGCAGGTTTGAATAATTAAAGAAGATGCTCATTTCAATCACAAGTCACAACTCTGTCAAAACAAAAAAAATCACAAGTCACAACTGATTTGGGTTTTGGATGTTGTAAGTCAATTTTATTTTTGCTTGCATTTAACAATGACAAAATTTTAAAAAGCAAATTCTCATATATATACCAAGTATCAAGTTTAGGTGTAAACGTTGTTCGCCTTTTTGTTGTTTATAGTTTAATCAAAAAGCATTTCTTAAAATGGTAAAAGTTGTGAATTTATTTGAGAAAAAATAGAAAATACAAATATAAATAAACAATGAAAACAAATTACCAAAAAAAAAAACCAAACAATGAAAACAAATCTAAGACTCATATTTCATTACGTTTATTACCTGTTATAATCAACATGAAGATCATTACAAAAGTAATGAAGCGAAAAAGCATTTTTCAATCTTGGCCATTTTTCTTGTCTTTCCTTAATTGATCTCTTCCTTTTTGTTTTGGTGGAATGTTCCGCTGTTATACATATATATATAATGTATTTTTATTCCTTTTTTGAGAAAGGAAAGAAAAGAAGAAAAAAATGTCCTTAAAAGATGCATATCCAACAGTTACGAAGGAGTTAGAACAAATCTAATCCTCATATTCCTTGCTAAATTTAGTAAACAGAAAATTTCTTAGATTACAAAAGTATTAAGCGAAAATTAGAAATAAAGGAGTTCTAATAAAGATTTTTATCATATACACATTTTTTTAGAATGTTACTTTAGACTTAAATACCTTTACTCTAAGCAATTTTTTAAAAAAGTAAACCATGAAAACATGTAGATATATAAGAATATAGATGCTTAGAGAAAATAAATTGGTGATTTAGTTGAAAAAGTTGAGTTTTTTATAGATAAAGTTTTGTCTAATATTGTTACTTTGTTAGAATACGTTTTCTAGTGTTCTACGTATTTCAGAGTTTCTATTCTAAACTTTTGTACAGGATCTATGATTTTTATACTAGTTTTCTGTTCTAACAAATTCAGAAGTCCGGATTAAAAATTTCTAAAAACTTTTGGACATGTATTCTAAATGTTCGGATATTCTGTCGGTTTCGTTTTGATTATATTTGGTTTCAGTTCTTTTGATTATGGAGTTTAGGATCATGTGATTTTAATATGTACATATCGATATAATATATCAAAATGATGGATATTTCTTTTATGCATATGTGTATGTGTAATCAATAATAATAGATCTTTATATGATTATTCATTGCATTTTATTTTTATCAACAACTTTTAATTAAAACTCAAAATAGTCATTTCTGATGAATGTTGTTTACATATGTGATATGAAGCGGTTCAGTACGAATTTTTAGTGCCTAATTATAAATAGTATTCCGTATTTGGAAAAATTAAAGATTTACAAATAAAAATTCCAACAAAAGGCATAATAGGGAATTGAACTTTTTTTGACATGAAACTTTGGAATGAAGTTTTTTATTTGTTCAAGCAAAGGTCCTTTTTAATATGAATTTCGAATTTAGTGCACTATAGATATAGATTTATGGGAGACTCACAAAAATGCCCATTTTTCAATACCCCTTTTCAAAAATGCCCTCTTTGGCTGTTCATTTTAAAAAATACCCCTTTTTATGTACAAAATGACTAAATTACCATTCTTTTAATAGAAAATATCACAAATATATAAGGAAAACATGAGAATGTGCACACATCAAAATTACAAATTTGATTTTGTAAAAACTTGTAAAACCTTTAAAATACCTTGTAAAATTTTCCCGCCAAAAAATTTTTTTTGCGGGAAAAGTGATTCCGCAATTTTTTTGGCGTTAAATTTTTGGCGGGAAAAATTTACAAGGTTTTTTACAGGGTATTTATAAGGTTTTACAATGTATTTTAAAAGGTTTTACAACGTATTTATAAGGTATTTATAAGATATTATAAGATTTTACAAACTATTTTAGGGAGAGTTACTCAAAAGGCCTAGTTAAGTTGAAAAATAACTAAAATGACATGGTTTTGGAGCAATAGTATTATCTTTTTTTAAAGGCAATCTTGCCCTCAAGTATGTGTTATGCGAAAAAAAAAATAACAGAAATGCCATTAGAATTAATTACAGATATGCCATGAAAAAGGAGGGAGTTGGGAAAAAGCAAGTGGCGGGAAAAAGGGTTGATTTTTGGATGTAGCGACAGATTTTTGTAGGTGACAGATTTTCATGGTAGTTTTAATAAACTATGACAGAGTTGTCAGATATGTTAGATAAATCTATGGTTCAGACACAGTAGATTGAAGTAAGATTGATAGATTTTTGTATTTTTGGTTGATTTATTTGGTAGAGTTGTTTATAGTGGTGACAGAGTAATATGTAAAATAGATATGTTTGGCAAACTTACATGCAGTTATGACAGAGTAATTAAGGAAATAGATTTAATTGGTAGAGTTAACAAAGGTTATGATAGAGTTGTTAAGAAAAACAGAGTAATGTGGTAGAGTTTGAATTTAGGAACAAAGTTTGTGACTAGTGAAAGTAGAATAATTGATTATGATAGAGTTATTATATAATCGGACAGACTTATTCAACAAATTAATTACTAGCGTGTCACAGTGTGTCAGAACAGTGGTGGAAGACTTTATGTATGTGACGATAGAGTTGTGGGTTTACGACTGCTTGGTGACAGAGTTAGCGAGACAATGTGGGGGTATACTTAAAATCGTTAAAACCGCAATCCTGCAAAAAAGTTTTTTTAGATAGTCGTGATAGATTTATTTTGATAGAGTTATGTATGATGTTAAATCTGTCACAGCGTAAAAATTGGTAATTCCACAAATACCCTCCCACTTTAACCGTAATTACAATTTCAATGTACACGCATCTTCTTCGTTGTTTGTAGGTTAAACACTTTGTCGGTGGTTCGAATCTGAGCACATCAACGAAATTTAAACCCACGTTTTCATATAAATATATATCATCTGTTTACTATACAGAACATGATAGTTGATGTGGTCTGGTGGCAGCGTTTGGGTTTTGAAAACTTCAAGAGCCGGGTTCGACACTACACTTTGTAGTTTTTTTTTTTTTTAATTTTTGTTTTTTGTGTTCTTCGTCTTCTTCACCGGTCGACTTCTTCCTCTCACATCTCCGATAACATAAAGGAGAGATATTTGAACTCGGATCTTCTTCATCGGTGAAAGTTAGAATTTCAATTTTTAATACCAAAAATCTCTCCTTTTTTTCCGATTGAAGTTTGTTTACCAATATGACTAAAGATGATTTCTTTTTCAAGTTGCAGAGTGATGAATCGTAGGCGATTCGATTGTTATCAGTAGCTTGTTTATCATTAGCTGCAAAAATGAAGGAACGAATTGTTTATCATTAGCTACAAGAACATGATTTCGTTTTCACATCTGATTATGATTGTTAAAAATAATTTGTTGATTCTATTAGATCTGAGAGGAAGAAGTCGTCTTTACTTGTGGGAATCAAGATACGTTTCCAAAATCTAGAGAATCGTTAATTCACACTACAGATTCCGATTGATTTTGCGTTTTTGTGAAGACGAAGAACAAAAAAAATAAAAAAAAAAGCACAGTTTTGAGACTAGTCGATATATTGAGAAACCCATTTAAATCCTTCGCCGTAACCCATCTTTCTGACAATGCTGCACATTAACCCCTTAGGTTAATTTCCTAAGTGTGTATGAAATAAAAATTAGAAACTTCCTAAGAGCATGCCTTGTCATTGTGTGAGTGTACTCCATGATGTTGTCATGTTTGAGCCAGAATTTTGATTTACAAATCAGACAATTTGAACACTAACTAAAGAAAGAAAGAAATCAATCTTTCAAATAATAGTTTTGGATTCATGTTACATGTCAAAAGAAAAGCTATGAACAGTTCCCTTGGAACTTGATATTAAACATCGGACGTAAAGGTTCTACCAAAGACTCTTCTTCTTCATCTCCACCGTCGTCAAAAGATATTTTTTCGCATGTGTTGTCAATTTGCTGACCCAAGCGTGTCTTCTGATGATGTATTTCTCCAATATTCCTTAGAAGAGTTAAAAGGCCAATGATGAAACTTGATCATCCACTTTGCAAAGCATCGTGGACCACAACACAAAGACAATTGCATGGGCATCTCTGTTCGGAAAACAAACTGAAAAACTAATAGATCGATCTAGGCTTGAATCAAATTACCAAATTCGAATCGGTGTAATTCTGGTTTTTTTTTTCGAGTTCGGCTCGGTTCAGGTAAGATAATATTCAATCCGAAGTGAAACCAAACTTGTAATTTGGTTCCGGTTTTGTGTAAATAAAGTCAAAATCGTATTTTGGTTTTGCTCGGTTATCAATACAAAATCAAATTACTGTAGTCAGTAGTCACAAAGTACAAATTACAATCCCATCACTATGTTGGCACCTGCACCCTTGAAGAGTGACTTGGCCCCTTCGTTCTTGACGATCTGAGAATTGGGTAAGACACCAGTCCAGCTCCAATGTATAATTACAAACCTTTGGTTATATGTCTCTTGACTTTTTTTCTTCAGACTTTCTCGAGCAGCTTTTCAGATTCCGAGCATGTATTTGGGCATGTCACTTGACCATCATACTCATGACTTCCATCACAACAATCTGCTCTCATGGAAAAACAAACGATTATTGGAACCATAAATACTGATAAGCTAATCCTTCAACAAAAATCTCCTAACAAACAAAATTGTAGCAATCAGCAGCCATAAATCACAGCTAATATTAACTACCAACAAAGAACACTGTCAAGAGCAAAAGTTGAACCGATAGTTTCCAAGCTTCAACAAAGCCCTCATTAGTTTTGTTTCAAAGATCTCTCTTCCACTACGACGTTTACTACACCTCTATGATGAAAGTAAAAAAATACTTCCAATAGAAATCATCTTTGAAAACCATTATAAATATTTTAAAGTAAGAGACACTACAATTTTTCTACACCTTCGAGCAATACGTAGTGTTGTTAGTGAATTAGTGGTGTGAGACTGTTTCTCAATCATATTTTCCTCTAAATCTGTAACAAAGATACAACCAAAGTATTAGTCTGGTGAATTTGTAACAAAGTAATGAACCTCCAAAGTATTAGTCTGGTGAATTTGTGACTATCTATAAGCATGCTAATTTTAATCCAAAACTAGGTTCAAGACGCAAAAAAAAAATCAGAAAATTTATTTTACACCTCAATTGTGTTTGCTACTTCGTTCCACAAAGAAGATTTACAAAATGCAAAAGCTAGTTACCACTTGCAATAGGCTAAAAACAAACAAAATTTGGAGACAAAGATGAGTGAGAAAAAAAATCAAGGCCCTGCAGTTTAGTTTGAATAATATCTCCAATCAACAGAAACATGAGAGATTAGAAAAAACTTACTACAACCCATAATTGAGAAGCTCCATTGGAAAACATCATTCTCATCAACGAACCCAGCTATGAAACCATCTATCGGCTTCTTACACACATCTGAAAAGAAACCAACAAAATTATATAAACCCAGAAACGAAATTCACCTCTATACTCGAAATCAATCCAATCGAAAGTAAAAGCATATTGAAACAAAATGCCCTAGACGGATTGAACAAGAAAAGAGAAAAGAGTTTTGCTTCTATTTTCTTCCAATCTCGATTGTATATGTAATGAAACAAAATAATTGAGATAATTTCTAAACGATAACACAATAAATTGAGAAATAATCAAAGATATATATATATACGTACAAGTGAAGAGCTTCTAGAAAATTGTCCAAGAACTCTAGTGAGAGTTGGGATCTTCGGAGACAAACCAGGACCCTCTTCCGAGTTTCTGGGTTCGAGATCTTGATAAGAAAAGATTTATCCGAGAGCTTAAAAACCGTAATATCACGTAATCTGTTGCTCCAAATGCCGTTTGTGATGGCGTGAAGAGCACCTGGACTAGGAGCATTCCCGTGAAACAGATCTATGATGAATTTCTCCCATCGGTGCTTGTTCCGGAATTTCAACACAGAGCTCACCCGAGGTTAAGGTAAATTCCTTTCCTTTCTTCCTCATCGTTTGAGAAGTGCTTTTTACTATATTTACCCAAGACGGCTTATCCAACGCTTCAACATCAGAATTAGCCCCGGAGAAGAGATCGAGTTTCGGATGGCAAAAGAGAATTTTTGAGGAAGCATCGGAAACTGAGCGGTGAGAGGAAGAGGAAGGAGAGCCCTTAGGCGGGGATTTATTTTTCTTAGCCATTGGGTTTGCCGGCGACGGTGAGAGATCTAGGGTTTACGGGTGGCTCGAGGTTGAGAGAGTTTTCTTTTCATTTGTTTGCTTTTGCTATTTTGTTATTATTCTTGTTATATAATTTCTGCATTTGTTTTTGGGATTTTTAATTGAAAGTGGCATGAATTGTAAATAAGGAAATTTTATTGGTTTTAAAGTCTTTTTAAAACTTTTTTAAGCCTTTCTAGTAAAGATTTTTTTCACTAAGCCTTTTGAATAATTAGTGGACTTTTTTAAGCTATTTGACGTAATTTCCCACTATTTTATAAGGTTTTACAAGTTATAAGGTTTTACAAGTTTTTTATAAGGTTTTACAAGTTATAAATACCTTATAAAACCTTATAAGTACCTTGTAAAACCTTTTAAAATACATTGTAAAACCTTACAAAACACTTGTAAATACTCTGTAAAAACCTTTAAAATACCTTGTAAATTTTCCCGCCAAAAAAATTGCAGAATCACTTTTCCCGCAAAAAAAAATTTTTGGCGGGAAAATTTTTTGGCGGGAAAAATTTTACAAGGTATTTTAAAGGTTTTTACAAGTGTTTTGGCGGGAAAATTGCGGGATCACTTTTCCCGCCAAAAAATATTTTGTATTTTGTGGACCTAATTTTGTTTCAAATAAGGGTAAAATGGTCATTAAAATTAAAAGAGGGCAAACTTAAAAATGGACTCTCAAAGGGGGCATTTTTGAAAAGGGGTATTGAAAAAAGGGCATTTTTAACAATTTCTCTAGATTTATTAACATGTTCTGATGGTTTCTTACGTAAAGGAATTATTGGACAAATATTTAAACATTTACTAGTACATACTCTCATTTTGAGTGATTTTTTAGACTTCTTTTGCGAAACATTATTAAGTTGAAAACTAATTCTAATTAGATAATATTTTTAGATTTTTGATAAAATTTACATTTCGTATCATCCATAAATAATTCAAAAAAAATCTATAGAATCACAAACATGATCTAGTTATTACATAAATCGTCATTGAATAAAAGTAAAAAAATTCATTTCATCTAAAAATATGAATTACATTTATGAAAGTTTGATTGGTGTAGGCAACAAAGAATAAATGCTTGATGGTACAAGACAAACAGACACCTTCTTCTCCCACTCTTTAATTACACACACATGAGCTTGCACGTGGTTCTTGTTCACATGGTGGAAGCCACAGATGTATTTAGGGAGAGAGAAATAAAAACAAAAACCAAACCTTTTGCAGAAGAGAGACAAAGAGTTAAATTGCTTCACCTGCTTTGCTTACTTTCCAGCCAAGGCACACTCTCCACGCACTCATCTTCTCTCAAATCTCTCTCTTTTTCTCTATAGACTTGTGTCAAGAAGTTAATGGGTTTGGTTCGGAAACTCATAACTGATAATACCCAGATCTTATTCTATCTTTCTTGAATTTTGATCATGGATTCTTCTTGATTCTTGAAACTCTCTTCTCGAGGTTTTTTTTTCTTTATTTATTACTTTGTTTTTTTGTCGGTTTTTAGCCGTTGAAGATGCCAATATAAGGCAAATGCAGCTACTTCTTCATGCTTTTGATCTTCTTCTTCTTCTTCTTCGATTTCAAGAAAATGTTACTGATATAGCCTAGTGTCTTGAACCGGGTTTGAGTTCGGTTTAGGATCCCATAACCGACAATGCAAATTGGGAAATTGATTTGGTTAATGTTCACATTCGTTTACATTATTACATCTTCTCCGAGTTTCTCGGTTTCTATTATTACCGAACGAGAGATTCTACTTCAATTCAAAGACAACATCAACGATGATCCGTACAACAGTTTAGCTTCTTGGGTCTCTAATGGTGACCTCTGTAATAGCTTCAATGGTGTATCTTGTAACCGAGAAGGATTCGTCGAAAAGATCGTTCTTTGGAACACAAGTCTCGCCGGAACCCTAACGCCGGCATTGTCTGGTTTAACTTCTTTAAGGGTTTTGACTCTGTTTGGCAACAGTTTTACAGGTAAGTTACCGTTGGATTACTCAAAGTTACAGACTTTATGGAAGATCAATGTTAGTTCCAATGCATTGTCTGGTTCGATTCCTGAATTTATTGGTGATTTGCCTAATTTAAGGTTCTTGGATTTGTCGAAAAATGGTTTCTTTGGAGAGATTCCGAGTTCTCTGTTTAAATTATGCTACAAGACCAAGTTTGTTTCATTGTCTCATAACAATCTCTCAGGATCAATCCCGGAATCAATCGTAAACTGTAATAATCTCATCGGTTTCGATTTCTCTTACAATGGCATTACCGGTTTGTTGCCTCGAATCTGCGATATTCCGGTTCTTGAGTTTGTATCCGTTAGAAGAAATGTGTTGTCTGGTGATGTGTTTGAGGAGATATTGAAGTGTGAGAGATTGAGTCATGTCGATATAGGAAGCAATTCTTTCGATGGAGTAGCGTCTTTCGAGGTTCTTAGATTCAAGAACATGACTTATTTCAATGTGTCTGGAAACCGGTTTACCGGGGAGATTGGTGAGATTGTTGATTGTAGTGAAAGTTTGGAGTTTTTGGATGCTTCTTCGAATGAGTTAACGGGTAATGTACCTAGCGGTATAACCGGATGCAAAAGTCTTAAGCTTTTGGACCTGGAATCGAATAAGCTCAATGGGAGTGTACCTGCAGGTATGGGGAAGATGGAGAAGCTCTCTGTGATCAGATTAGGCGATAACTTTATAGATGGGAAGATACCGCTCGAGCTCGGAAATCTTGAGTATCTACAGGTTTTGAATTTGCATAATCTCAATCTCATTGGTGAAATACCAGAGGATTTATCAAATTGCAGACTACTTCTTGAACTGTGAGTCTTTGAATCTCTTCTATGCCGATATTTAGCGAGTTTTCGATTTCTTGATCTCACTTTTTTTTTTGTCAATCTTTGTTGTTTGTTGTAGAGATGTTTCTGGGAATGCTTTAGAAGGAGAGATCCCTAAGAATCTATTGAACTTAACAAACTTAGAGATCCTTGATCTGCATCGGAACCGAATCAGTGGAAGCATTCCGCCTAATCTCGGGAACCTCTTGAGAATCCAGTTCCTCGATCTTTCAGAGAATTTGCTTTCGGGTCCTATCCCGTCTTCCCTCGGGAATTTGAATAGACTGACACATTTCAATGTTTCTTATAACAACCTCTCCGGCATTATCCCAAAGATTCAAGCTTCGGGAGCTTCTTCGTTTTCCAACAACCCTTTCCTCTGCGGTGATCCTCTTGAAACACCGTGCAATGCTCTCAGAACTGGATCAAGATCAAGAAAAACCAAAGCTCTAAGCACCTCTGTTATCATTGTTATCATCGCTGCTGCTGCGATCTTGGTTGGTATCTGTCTAGTGCTTGTTTTGAACCTTAGGGCTCGTAAAAGACGGAAAAAGCGTGAAGAAGAAATAGTCACTTTTGATACCACAACACCCACACAGGCTTCAACGGAGTCTGGTAATGGTGGTGTAACATTCGGGAAACTTGTTCTATTCAGCAAAAGTTTGCCTTCAAAGTATGAAGATTGGGAGGCGGGTACAAAAGCATTGCTCGACAAGGATAACATTATCGGTATTGGATCAGTTGGAGCGGTTTATAGAGCATCTTTCGAAGGCGGGGTTTCCATTGCAGTGAAAAAGCTCGAGACTCTAGGAAGAATCAGAAGCCAAGAAGAGTTTGAGCAAGAAATCGGAAGGCTTGGAAGTTTAAGTCACCCGAATCTTGCTTCTTTTCAAGGTTACTACTTTTCCTCGACAATGCAGTTAATTCTTTCTGAATTTGTCACAAACGGAAGCCTTTACGATAATCTACACCCGAGAATCTCTCATAGAACCAGCAGTAGCAGCAGCAGCCATGGAAACACCGAGTTAGATTGGCATAGAAGATTCCAAATAGCAGTAGGAACCGCAAAGGCGCTTTCTTTTCTTCACAACGATTGTAAACCCGCGATTCTTCATCTCAATGTAAAGTCTACCAACATACTCCTTGATGAAGGATATGAGGTAAAGCTATCAGATTACGGTTTGGAAAAGTTTCTTCCGGTTTTGAACAGCTTCAATTTGACGAAGTTCCACAATGCGGTTGGATACATAGCTCCAGAGCTAGCTCAGAGTTTGAGAGTGAGTGATAAATGTGATGTTTATAGCTACGGTGTAGTTCTTCTTGAGCTTGTTACAGGTAGAAAACCGGTGGAGTCGCCATCCGAAAACGAGGTTTTGATCTTAAGGGATCATGTGAGGGATTTGTTGGAGACAGGTTCGGCTTCTGATTGTTTTGACAGTAGATTGGTAGGGTTTGAAGAGAATGAGCTGATTCAAGTGATGAAATTAGGTCTGCTTTGCACGACAGAGAATCCATTGAAGAGACCGAGCATGGCAGAGGTTGTGCAGGTTCTTGAATTGATCAGAAATGGAATGGAATCATGAGAGAATTCGTTTAGTTTTTGCAGAGATATTGTGCAGTGTTTACTTCATTCTTTTGTGACTTGTCTGTTTTGTTGCTAAAATTGGTAAAAGTTCTATTGACCGGGTCTTCTCTAACCTTAAACCGATCCTGGATTGGTATTGTCATCAGAACAAACCAAATAATCAAATTGCAGAATCAATTTTGAGATTTACATGTTTGACAAACTTTTCTAATGCGGTTCATAACTACAGGCACATCTTTCTCAGACAAATTACTGAAACAGATACGGAACCATCCTGGTTCGATACAGTGACAACAAGATCCTGGTATGACATTGATCTTGCCAATGTTCAAGAGCTTGTTCCACAGCTCAATCTCGCCTTTTTCGCTGTAAGATGAAATCAATCCTCGCATATCGGCCCAACAGTAGAACCCTCCATTGCTTTTTGTGCACTCGATCCCTAACTCTTTCAACCCCTTCACGAGTTCCATGTAGATACTCTGCAATCTCTGCCTGTTGGTTTTCACAAGTCTCTGAACATTCTTTGGATTGGAGATTGCCGATATCAGCAAATGTTGGGTTGGCGATGAGACAGGTGAGAGCGTCGTGAGCTTTCTTGAAGCGGATAAAACACTTTCGTTGAACGAGTAGATAGCAGCGGATCTAAGTCCCGGGAAAGACAAGTCTTTCGAGAGGTCATACACAATATGAACTCTTTCTCTGTCGATATTCTCTTCCGTGTCAACTATTTCAGCCATGCTAACAAACTCTCCTTCTTCTCCGTGGACTGACCCAGCGAAGATTTCGTTTGAGATTATATGAATGTTCCTCTCACGGGCAAAGTCCAAAAGCGCATAGAGATTCTCTCTGCTCAGTAGGCTTCCCATGGGATTCGAAGGATTCGAGATTATAATGCCACGGATTCTGACACCTCGTTTCTTGGCTTGATAGAATGCTCGATCAAGCACGACCATCGACATATTGAAATTATCCGCACTTCTACAAGGAACGTGTATAATGTCAACTCCTGTTCGCCATTTAACATCCCTATCATATCTGCACAAAAAGAATGTCCCCATTCAGTATCTCTCGTAGCATTAGCATCGGGTCAAACAGTATAGACATAAAGTTATACCCGGGGGAACACGGAGTTGGAACAAGGAAGGCGTTTCCTGAATCAGCTAAGCAGAAGGAAAGAATCTCAATAGCAGATGATGCACCAGAAGTTAACACTAACTGTGATGGATCGAAAGACACCGAATTTTTGGTTGCTTCAGACATAAATCCTGCCACAGCCTATCATATAATCCAGAAAACTTCTCTCAAGAACACATACAGATCCTCAAACAAAACACATGAAAACATCTCAAGAAGATTCAAAAGATGTCTCAAAACACTCCAATGAACAAGATTAATGGAAAAAAAGTTTAGGGTAAGAGAGAACAAACCATTTTCAGTTCCAAAAGTCCATCAGAAGGCTCATAAGAGGCAATGCCACTAATACTCAATCCATCTGAAATTGCTTCTTTTGCATTCTCCAAAACCCAATCATCGAAACTCAACTATTGTAAGAAGAAAGAGAACAGTCAAATCCATAAAAATCACAAAAAAATTCAATTTTTTTTCTTTGAAGAAATTATGATCCAAACCTTGATGTTTTGAGATAAACCAAGTTGGATCACTCCGTCCGGGTTACCCAACTCATCATACGGATCTTCCTCGACCCGTTTTTGACCAACGTAGTAAGGCGAAGAATCTCCACCTTTGAGTACACAATTAACCCGACCCGAAACCGAAACAGCTCCACCGGAATTTCTCGGCGAGAGAAGAATCCGAGAAAGAGAACGAGGTAAACCAGTAAGCTCCGTGAGATGACCAGCGGATTGTGACCGGGTCGGATCCGGTAAACCCGAATTTGGAGAAGAAGAAGAAGAAGAAGCTGAGGAGTTTTGTTCACCGGAATTATCGGATTCGTCGTTTTTCCGATTTCGTTTTAGGTAAAACTGAAGAAAGTAGAAGAAAGCACAAGGAATCACAGAGCCTAAGAATAAACCACCACGACCTTGTACTACACCTTGTAACGGAACAATAACCCTCATCGCGGTGGTTCTACCTCCGCCGCCGTTACCGGAATTCTTATCGGAATCGGAATTGGAGCTCCGGCTCCGGTTTGGTTCGGTACGGGTCATTGTAGTGAACTCATGTTTTTAGGTAAATAATATTTTTAGTGTTTGAAAATCAAAATCGGAGCCTCTTTGAAGGTTTTTATCGGGTCGGGTTAACGGATTATTGAGTCCGACGGCGAAGAGATTTGAAAGAGAAAGAGAAAAGTTTTGATTTTTAGGTTAAAAGGAAATAAAATTCGAATTTGTTTTTTTTTTCTTTTTGGATTTTTGTTTAATTTCTGATCTGTTTTATTTCGTACGCTCGTTTTTGGGTCGTTGAGATTTTTTGGAGGGAGAGAGGTAATATGTAAATTACTATATTACCCTTTTTCTTTTTTTTAACTGGGTCCTGAAGTTTTTGTATTCTCTGGAAACTTTTCTGTCTTTTTCTGTTAAAGTTTCATAATAATTTAATAAACTTGAAAAAAGTGTAATTGGATTTATATGTAAGAAAATAGGTTATTTGTATGTTTTAGATGTGCGGTCCAAATGGATAGTTTTGATGGTGAATGAGTGAAATGTTGAGTAATAGTATTGACTATTGACTAACTGAATCTGAATCTAAAATAATTTGAATAGATTCCTGACATTGTAAACAAATCTCTGGTCTTGATCTTTTTTATTCTTTTATATATGAAATGTAATTTTGAATATTTTAGTTGCTAACTAAAACATAAATAAGGTAATTAGCTAACATGATAATGATAATGACTTGTTCATAGTAATGGTGTAAAGTGAGGCTTGGAAAAATTGGAACACGAAATCGAGGAAGGCGAATGTTGAACTGTGGATTATGAAATTCTGGAAATTAATAATTAACAATTAGTCCTACCAAAATCTTGAGAAGTTTTAGTTTTCAAGAGTTTAACAAAACTGATGAACATAATAAAATAAGGTTCTCTTTGTGTGGACAAAGTAAAAAATAAAAAAATAAATCACAAATCTGTTAAAATATGAGACAACTGGCTAGTAGATAGTAATCTATATCATCTTCTTTAATATATGGTCGAAATTTTATATAGTCCAACCAAAAAAGAGGCTATATCGAATAAAGTCTGCATATTTCCCCGAAAATAAGTAAATAACATAAGCCACAAATGTTATAGGAGATATCCTTTTATACATATGATATAAAATGACAATTATTTTCGTGAAAGAAATCAGCAAATGTATTTGAAACAGTTGGCATTGCAAAATGAGAGACAGAAGTTGATAAGTAGACCAAATGGATTTGGCTTATTAGTTTGTGTTTCAGCCTCAAGTTGAGATTGGCTGCGGTTTTAGTCGTTATATGTAAAACATGAATCGTCGTCATGTGGGGCTCTTCACTTGTGCTTTCGTTGTAATACATTTCTTGCTTCCATTTTTGAAATAATCATAGCCACAGCCCACATGCTTATAACATGAAACCCTATTTATGTGTTAAAGTTTAAGAAACTCAAGATTGCAAGAGACTGAATCATATAACTTCTGGGCCTATCTCTCCAAAGTAATTGGGCCTGGGATTATAAGAAAAATAAGAATGTTTAAGTTGGGCCTGAGATCAATATTATCTAGATGTACTTGTTGATTTTTTTATTTTTTTTAATCATTAAGGACGTTGGTTGTCGTTGTTCATCAAATGGAAGGACTTTGTGCGTAATCTCAATATACAAAACTAGCACTGGGAAACCAAACCAAACCGAGGTTTGTGCAAATTGGTTCAGGTTTGGTTTTAGCATATAAACCGATCGGAAAACATACAAATTAGAGTCGGTTAACCATTTGGTTCGGTTCCAAAGCAGAAAACCTGACCGAAATAACCAAAGTAAGTTGGTTTCTAAGAGGACCCAAATTACCCAATTTACCAAAATTTTGCTCGTAGTTCGGTTTGATTTGGTAACAATCTGAATAACCAAACTAACCGGTTACCGAACCAAACTGATATCTCAATCGGTTAATTTTGGCTAACTTTCAAAATCCTAACTAACGAGAAAACTGAAAAATCCGAACCATTTTACGCCAAAAAAAAACCGAATTCGCAAAACCAATAGAAGATGACTTTTTAAATTTACAATGTTTTATTAATTTTTATAAATGAACCCATGTAAATAAATCACTTGACCAACCGTTTTTGTGTTCTACAATTTACCAAAATACATTTGGGTTTTGAAATATATATTTTGGGCTTCTTACATGATTAAATAACATAAGTTAATTCAATATTTTGGGCTTCTTACATGATTAAATAACATAAGTTAATTCAATAACCAGTAGCTCTTTGAACGACGGTATCGTTCCGATGAACCAGACCATCAGATTTATAAACGTTTTTAGTTTCAATTTTCTTTAGAAACTATTAAAACTAAAACAAAAAAACCTCAATTGAAACAAAATTATAAAGTTGATTATTCATCTTTAAAGTGAAGTATGGTATAAATTTATTTTGTTAGATCTTAATGTTATTTATAGCTTAAACTTTAGATCTTAAACTTCAATTCTACTACTTTATTAATTAAGAATTTTTTAGCATTAAATTAAGCATGTATTCATATTGAAACAAATATATAAATTAGCATGTCTTAGAAAAAAAGTCGTGTTAACGAAATAAAAAAAAAAGTAGAGAAAATATAGAAAAACCAGTATACTTTTTCACCTTATTTAAGATATTTTTTGCAAAAAAATTTTTTAAAATTTTCACATAGTCAATTTTTATTTCTTACCAATTTCGATCCTAAATTCCTAAATTTAGTCATTAATGCATTTATTAATAAATTAATTAAAGAAGGTATTAAAAAACAAAAAAAAAAATCTAAACATAAATCTTTACAACAATAAAAATAAGTCAGTCACTTTGCCGTCCACTGAGTAAAAATCAAATCTTTCTCTCTCTCTCTCCGACGGAGAAAAAGTCTCCGACTGTGTAAAATGATGAACCATGGTGGTGGCGGCGGCGGAGGTAACGGAGGAGGAGGAGACGCTGAGCGTATGCTAGCTCAAGCAGAGAAGCTACTCTTAAGCGGAGACTTAAACGGTTCAAAAACCTACGCGATTCGCGCATGCGAAGCCGATCACTCACTCGTAGACCACGCCGAGTTAATCCTCGCCGTCGCCGACACTCTAATCGCCGGAGAATCACGAATCAGAGGAACCACTTCCGATCTTCCCGACTGGTACGCCGTGCTCCGTCTCGTTCGTTTAACTCACAACCCTGAACTCGTCGCGACTCAGTACAGTAGACTCGCCGTGTTGCTTAACCCGAGTCGAAATCGGTTTCCTTATTCTGAACAAGCTTTTAGGTTAATCTCTGATGCTTGGTATGTTCTCTCTGATCCTTCTAGAAAGACATTGTATGATAGAGAATTGCATCTGAGTCAATTTGGGCAACTCGGTCAATTAGGGTTTCAGCTTTTCAATCAAACGCCACAATCTCAGTCTCAATCTCCTCAACATCATCAGCAACAATCTCAGTCACCTCAACATCCGAACCAGAACCAAACGATGTCGTTTCAGAATCAGCAGTTACCATTTCAGCTTCATCAACCACATTTTGCTCAAGCTGTTCAGACTCAGTCTCAGTCACAGCAGCAGCAGCAGCAAAGGTCTCAATTTGATCAGCAGTTATTGCAGGAGCAACAACAAGCATCTTGGAGGCAACAGTTTGGTCAAGAGCAAAGTAGTGGTTCGAGTAGTGATTGGAAAAGACCAGTGGAGGAAGAGAGGTTGATTAATTTGAACAATGCAACTGAAAGGGTTCAGTCTAGTCGTCGTTTTTCTGAGCCGGAGCGGCCGCCTAGTAGATCATTTGAGGGATCTTCTCATAGGACTCCTTCAACAGATTTGACATGGGCGTCTAAGCCTACTCCAGTGTCTGAGTCTGTACGTCAGTCTGAGCCTGTACCGTGGCAATATTCGGAGCCGGCTAGACAGTATCAGTCATCTAGTAGGTCTAGTGAAGCTGCTCAACTCTCGCTGCTGCCTTCTGTTTCTGTCTCACCTCATGCATCTCAGCCGACTCGCTCGAATCAGTCACATGCAGTCTCTAAACCGCAGCCTGTTTCTAAGCCACATCCGCCATTCCCAATTTCTCAGCCACTACCGACCTCTAGCCCATTTCCATTGTCTCAGCCACCATCGACCTCTAAATCGTTTCCGATGTCTCAGTCGCAAAACTCTAAGCCATTCCCTGTGATTCAGTCATCCCAAAAGTCTAAGCCTTTACCGGTATCTCAGTCATTACAAAAGTCAAAGCCATTGCCGGTCTCTCAGTCATCACAAAACTCTAACCCATTTCCGGTGTCTCAGCCATCATCAAACTCTAAGCCATTCTCCATGTCTCAGCCACAACCGGCCTCTAACCCATTCCCGGTGTCCCAACCAACACCAAACTCTAAGCCATTCTCGATGTCTCAACCATCATCGACTGCTAGGCCTTTCCCAGCATCTCAGCCACCAGCGGCCTCTAAGTCATTCCCCATCTCTCAGCCCCCACCGACCTCTAAGCCATTCCCAGTGTCTCAGCCACCTCCGGCCTCTAAGCAATTTGTGTCTCAGCCACCCAATACCTCTAAGCCAATGCCGGTATCTCAGCCACCTACAACCTCTAAGCCGTTGCCAGTGTCTCAGCCACCACTGGTATTTCAATCAACCCGTCCCTCTCAGCCACCTGCAGCCTCTAGTTCTCCTTCTCAACTGCCTCCTGTCTTCAATTCAGCACAATCATTCCAGCCACCTACTGTCTCTACTACTCCCTCTCCGGTTCCAGCAGCCTCTACTATTCCATCTCCGGCTGCGCCTGCGCCAGTTTCTCAGCCAACTCGGGTTTTTAACCAAACCCCAACTGCTGAACAGACTCCAAAGAGTGGGGATGCAAGATCCGATTCTGAGCCGGAGGTTCCGAGTTTCTGGACGACTTGTCCATACTGCTACGTGCTTTACGAGTATCCCGTCATTTACGAGGAAAGGGTGCTTAAATGCCAAACTAAGAGCTGCAGGAGAGCTTACCAGGCAGTGAAGGTTCCTTCTCCGCCAGTTACTGAAGAAGATAGTTACTATTGCTGTTGGGGTTTCTATCCAATAGGATTCTCAGAAGTGACTAAAATCCCAGTCAGTGGTTTACCCAAATCAGCACCCAAAAAACCATCTCCAAAGGTCTACTATTATGACGACGAAGAAGAAGATGATGATTCATACATAGATTCTGATCCTAGTGAGGATGATGACGACGATGACTGGCTGATGAATGGTACAAAAAGAAGGAAGAATGTGAAGCAAAGTAAAGCTAAAGCATCAACCAACCAAAACGTCAAAAAGTAATCGAGGTTGATTGAGTAAAATCGGGTAGGGAACAGAAAAAGAACAACTTCAGTAAGGCTCTCTCTGTTCTTCATTTCTGGCTCTGTTGTTGTATTTTAGTTGCAGTAGTTTCTCTTTATGTAGTGTAAGGTAAATTTGCTTGCTTCCGCGGTTTCCATGTTCTGTTTAGGATGCGGACGAAGCGATTCGGGGTTAAGTTTAGAAGCAGTGGCTGTAACTTGTAATGTTTTGGTACCTCATTTTGGATTAATGTAGTTTCTGGAAAAAAAAAACTTGGAGAAGTATCATTTTGATGAGTTTCTTTTCTTTTTTTTGTCTCATCTCAATAAATTTCTAAAGACGAAATGTTGTTCTCTCTGATTCATGTAAAATACGTATTTACATGATATAACAATCTTTCTATTTCTCCATTCCTATTGGATCTGTCCTCTCAATTACTATGCTAATACCATAATAATACACCAGAGGCTCTCCGTTGAGTCATTAAGCTTCATGAAAAATTGTGGTTGTGGCCCGATTGTTCTTACTCCCTCTGCCATCCACATCAATCATCTCTAAACTCTTTCTTTAGTTTTTCCATTCGGAAGTAATGTTGTTACTTTTTCATCTTTGTTCTTGAATCAGAGAGTTGGCAAAGGTCTTCAAATGGTTGTCCAGCATACAACGTAAGCTGCCTCTTCCTAACAAGTATCACATTCTTGTCACCAGAGCTAACTTGGTCATAAAGATCCTACCGGAGCTATATCAGCACTGAAATCATCAAGTCTTCAAAAACTGATTCAAGCAGATAAGAGAAGTTTCTAACATCACTTGAACCAACGAAAACTGAATAAGCCATATATATGTTGGGCTAACTGGTCCAGTTGATCCACAGCCCAATTTAAAATTGGGCTCACAATTGATAAAGGTGAAACAACAAAGGTGAGTTTGGACTTTAAATTCAGTTTGGTTTAGACATTTTAAAGCGGTTCAGAATTTCCGGTTTGAATGAACCAGAATTTAATTTATCATACTAAAACCATCTTCATGATCTCATATTCATAAATTCGTCATTACCTACAAAACTGTGATTCTGTAGTTGCATGAAGATCAAAATTGGACAACCTAACCAGATTAGATCTTTAATTTATCAATATTAAAACCATGTTAATGATCATAAAATCATATCATTAATTCGTCATCACTGATCACATACAAATCTATGATTCTGTAGGTGCATGAAGATCAAAATGGACATGCAAATAAAGGGACCCCAGTTACCAAAATGTCAGACCTAATCCTGACCACATTTAATATATTAATTACTTCACTAACAATTATTGCAAACCATTTAATGATTTTTTGAGTGTCCACGTTATCATCTGCAATTACACTCCTTAATTATTGCGCGTCATTACTATTAATTAAATACAACAATCTTTCTTAATCTCCTTTCACTATACCAATAAACCTTTACAAAAGATTGTGTTTTCTCTTTAGTATTCCCTCCGTCCCACGAAGATGGATTTTTTGGAAAAAAAAAGTTGTCCCACGTAGATAGAAGTTTTGTGTTTCCAATGTAAAATTTAAAACAGTTTACCTATTTTACCCTTATGAAATAATAATAAATAATACACTCTTTAAAATGTGTTACAATGTTAAAAGGTTAAAATTGTCATTATACATTATTTCTTAAAGAATGCGAAATTTCTACAAAATCTATCTTTGTGGGACGGAGGGAGTATAAGTTTAACTCCAAAATTCAACTAAGCTGTCACATTATCTGCCGACTTAAACTTGATGGCTCGTTTTATTTGTCATGAAAAACATATAAACATGTGCCATAAGTCGATAACCTCAAAATCGTTGATAAAACTAATAATTATTTAAAAATTTGAATCATAATTTTAGTTTCGTAGTAATAATGAGTTAATAAAGTTTATTTGATTGAATATCAGTCCTAATTAAGTACACCTTATCATGTATACAATAAATACATGTCAATCTTCTTATATTCATTTAGATGTGGAAAAAAAATCTAGAAACCTTGACATAACTACTCAAAATAAATGAAGAAGAGATGACATTAACGATGGGTATAGCAACAACAATACACTAATAATTGAAACAAATTAATAATCTTCGGTCTTCGTCCATACACAGTAAATGTTTGGTCCATCCATGCTACACGAGCAAAATATTCAGCTTAGATGCCAAATCTGAACTCAAGCTGTAAAGTGTAAAGTATTTTCCCCGACCAAAAAAAGCTTTAAATTTCGTATATATCCTTCTGTTTCACAAAGATGTCATTCTGCATTTTTCATACATACTAAAAAAACTATTAAAATTTTTACTATAGTACCTTTTATCAATACACTAAACAAAATTATTTCTCTTATTAACACATTAAAGATATAAGATTAAAAATAAAATTTTATTCAAAATTTTTACATTAAAAATACAAAACGATACTCTATGTGAAACAAAAATAAAACCTAAAAACAACATTCTTTGTGAAACGGATGGAATATAACTTATCTATAAATGCTGCTTGAAAATTCAAGTGAAGAGTCAATAACCAAATTAATGGAAAGTACTTACTTAGTATATAAATGATATTCTCTTCGTTTTCTTATATAAAAATTTTGACGAAAAACACGGAGATTAAGAAACATTTGTTTAATATATAGAGAAAATTAATTCAACCAATTAATAAAAATATTACAGAATTTAAATAGTCAGAAAATATTTAATAAATATATGTTTTGTGACTTTGTCTAAAAACTTTAAAACATTTCAAATAAAATGAAATAAACCAAAATCTGCAAAACATCTTATATAAAGAAACGAATGGAGTATTAGTTAATCCAGTTATTGCCAACTAATTTTGAGTTGGAACTCATGAAAATCAATATGGTATTAGAGTCTGAACACATATTCTCACGCTAATCTAATTAAAAAATTACCCATCACCATCGAAAATAAACTTAATAAGTTTAAATTCCGTCGAAATAAGCTTGAATAAAATCATCTATTTTTTCATAGGAATTTGTAAAATATATATTTATATGAAACAAAATGTTTTAAGTGTAAAACATCTGTATTTCATGGAATACGAAATATTGTGAAACTAAAATTTATTGGAGTTGAAAACTTAGGTGGTGTGTAATGAAGGTGAGATGTATATGTTCAAGCACATTTAAAACATATGTTCCATTCTTATTTGACGTGATTATTAAATGGCCACTAAATGAACAGCGCAAAGTTTAATTTAATACTAGTATTATTATTACTATCATTTTTAATTTAATCCCAACTACTCATATTTTATGGAGATTTTAGTTTCTTCGAGATCGATCACTAACCTATCACCACATCTGTCCAATTAAAGAGGAAGAAGAAACAAATCTTGGAGACAAGTATAAAGAGACTCACAAGTCAGAAAGTCACAACACTACAACAAAATCAAACCAAAAAGTACTCATATTCATAGATATCAAATTCTAATGGATTTTATTCCTTCAATGTTTATGCCTGATTCAACCTACGAAGATGGATTACTATTTTCTGATTCTTTTCTTCTTTCGCCTTTTATATCATACCAAAACAATGATGTTTGCAATCCGATCACAAACAAAATTGGTGGGAGCAATAAGAAACGAAGTTTGTGTGATACATATGGAGTGAATGAAGCCAACAGAATGATGATGATCGAGAAAGCAAGAAGGTGAAACATAGAGACATTGAAAGGCAAAGAAGACAAGAAGTTTCATCTCTTTTCAAAAGTCTAAGAACTCTCTTGCCATTTCAATATATCCAGGTAACTTATCTAGTAGGAGATATTTTGTTTTGATTAGTTTAAGAAATATTTTATATCTATATATTCCTTAGTTACATACTAATTACAAAACCATTTCATTTTAAAGTGGAAGCGAGCAGTTTTCTTTCCACTGAAGTGGAAAATATATAGAACCTTAGTTTTGAAAGGTTTTACTAATTAACAATTCGCTCATTCATGCTTTCATATATACTTTTTCATAAATTTATACATACTACTTAAGTCTTCCGTTATATATTGTGGTACCACTTTATACATAGAAGTAAATAAATTTACACATTCGTATAAGTTTTCACAATAGTAAACTCTGAAATAATTATTTACATTGATTTACGTATGTATATGTATAACTTATTTGATGGTTTGAAACAAATTACAGTAAAGTTTATGTCCGCGTTAAATATCTTAAATATATATAAATTGAATTTTAGACAAACTCGAATTTGGAACCACATCAAGGAAACATCCACTCAAACTGATGAGCAAATTCTTTTTCCTAATTAACACTAGTAAATATATCAAATTACACCCTTAAATCAAATAAATACTAGTTAGTTGTTCTGAGCATGAACATATCATTTAATACAGGGTAAACGCTCGACATCAGATCACATTTTCCAGGCAGTGAACTACATCAAAGACTTACAAACCAAGATCAAAGAACTCAACGAAAAAAGAAATCAGATTAAAAAATCCATACCGGGCACAAATACTACTCTAGAGGAATGCACCAGTAGCTTATCATCAACATCAACATTATCATCAAGCTGCTCATGTGTAGGAGACAAACACATTACAGTTGTGGTCACGCCTTGTTTGGTTGGTGTTGAGATCATCTTGAGTTGTTGTCTTGGACGAAACAAGTCTTGTCTCTCGAGTGTTCTTCAAATGTTAGCTCAAGAACAAAGGCTTAGTGTAGTTAGTTGTCTCTCAAGTAGACGGCAACAGAGATTCATGCACACCATTGTTTCTCAGGTAAAATTATTACTAACAACTATAAACAGAAAAAGTTGTGAAATAAGATATTACAAAAGTAACAAAACATTGGGTTATCATAGTTGCTAATATCATTTTTAGTTCTAATACCATTTTATTTACTATACAAATTATAATTTTCTGTTTTTTTAAACCACTTTGTGGAAATGTAATGAATATACTTACACAAAATTAGTATTAGATAATTAAAATTAGTAACTTTTATACACAAAATTTTAGTATTGACCATTTCTTGGCTTGATTTTCTAAAAACAAAATTGCAATATCTTTTTCCTAATTATTCAAAAAAATAACAGAGAAGTTCCTATTACTGCTTATAACATTTTTTCATGATTCAATTATATATGTTTATGA